ACCTCTTTTAAGCTATCTATAACTTACAGCAATTTGATAAAATATACATTTATGAGCAAAGATGGAAGCATTTGTCTTTTTCCTTATTTGATTCCTTTAAAATTTGAAAACTGAGTTTTATGGCAATATGGTATTTACATAGTTCAATAAAAATTTGCTCTCTTTTTATAACAGGATACAATTGGAAAACATTGATTATAAAATAGCATATCTTTTCTAATTTCCTGACCCCACATCATGTTGCCCTAATTTGGCCTAACTGCTATTTCATCTTTCCCTATGATGTAGGACATGTCCACCTGGGATGAGCCTTTCCATCTCTGAAGGATCAATACAAAGAAAAGTAGGCAATAAGGAATGTTTTGATCAAAAAGGGGGAGCTAATGGCTTGTATTTACTCGGCTGTAGAAATGTGGAGGATATTGACTAAGAAATTATTAATGAGATAGAAATAAAACACATGTATTTCGCAGGACCAAAGTCCTTAGCGTAGAAGGCCAAAGTCTGTAGTTTAGAGGACCAAAGTCCTTAGTCTAGGCCAAAGCCTGTAGTTTAGAGGACCAATGTCCTTAGTTTAGGCCAAAGCCAGTAGCTTAGAAGGCCAAATCCTGTAGTTTAGAGGACCAAAGTCCTGTAGTTCAGGAGTCCAAAACCTCTAGTTTAGGGGACCAAAGCCCAACCCTTTAGGAAAACACATAGAAATGCTAAGATGAAGAAAGACCAGACTTTCATAGGACTAAAGCCTTTTTTTTTGTCTTTTTTAGTGTCCGGCAACGGACTGCAACCCTCAGTGTCACGCCCGCACCGGACCGGGACCGGCAACGGGATCGCAACCCTCGGCGCCGCGCCCGCCCCTCGCTCAGCCAGTGAGCAGGAACCGGTCTGTATGTGGGATCCGAACCCTCGGCGGGAGCGCCGCCGCGCTTCCCAAGCGGTGCACTGTAGCAGTGCGCCACCGGGCCGGCCCAGGACTAAAGCCTTTGATGTAGATACGAGAATTGAAGCACAGTGAAAAGTGATTGCTCTGGTGGCAGTTGCCCTTGGGCAGCTAAACTTAAATGATGGGAAAGTACATAAGCTAAAATCTTCAAACATATTCTGCTAATTAGTGCTTGGGGGACGTTCCACATCTTGCCCTAAACTGTTTCTTTGACTTTCTTGGGGAATTAGGCACTTTGGTGATTATCTCATTGTTTCTTTTTGTATGTCACATAACTTAGTATTATGACTTCTTTTGATGGTAAATTGCTTGAACTGTTTTAAGTTACACCTGCTTTTTTTTTTTTTTTTTTTTTTTTTTTTTTTTTTTTTTTTCTTTTTTTTTTTTTTTTTCTTTTTTTTTTTTTTTTTCTTTTTTTTTTTTTTTTTGTCTTTTTTGTCTTTTTCCATGTCCGGCAACGGATCGCAACCCTCAGTGTTGCCCCCATACCGGACCGGGGACCGGCAACGGGACCGCAACCTTCGGTGTTGACCCCGCGCCTCGCTCAGCCAGTGAGCAGGAACCGGTCCATATATGTGGGATCCGAACCCTCGGGCGGGAGCGCCGCCGCGCTTCCCAAGCGGCGCACTTATCCAGTGCGCCACCGGGCCGGCCCAAGTTACACCTGCTTTAATGAAGACAGTTTATGTTTTCACTATGATTGATTAACCACCTGTTTTTCTTCTGTAACTTTCTTGTCTTTACAATAAAAACTGAAGCAAAAACTGACTCAGGGCTGTGCCTGGGCTCTCCTCTCTTGAAGGAGTTTTCCCTTAGTGCAGTCCCTTCGGGCTTCTCATTGCTCTGAATACATGGGCTCCGAATAATCTTTTGCGTCTCCATCACTTTGCGAGAGGTGACACACAAGCAGTTCTCAAACATTCACAGCCTTGAAGGGGGGTCATAACTTGGATGGGACACCCTGTTCACCAAGAATTCATGTAAGTTCTTAAAGTTGTTGATGTACCAATTAATGTATAGCTTGCTAACTCTGAGTAAGCTGTATATTGTTAATCAGCTGCTAAGACAATGAATAAACAAATACCCTTGGTCCCTCTGCCACTCCAGCTGGATACCGAAAGCATGTCCTTCACCATGTCAAAAAGTTCCATCCCAAGTTAACCTCTTCTTCACCCTGACTCAACACAATGCTGTAAGATGAGTAATTGGCTTGTTCCATAGAAATGGAAGGAACTATTGACAGTGGGGACATTGTTGGAGTGAGCAGTACTGAAATCATGTTGGGACCTAAAACAACCTAGGCTGTAGGAAATTTTAAAAGACAGATTTTTTCTTTTTCTTTCTTCCCATCCTCTAACTTTCTTACCTGGCTTGCTAAGTAGAGAAACAAGGCTGTTGAAAGTTAATCAATACCTTACAAAACTAATAGTTCTTTGGGGCTTGCAAAGTTCCAAGAACAGATGGGCACCAGCAAGAAATCAAAATCCTGAAGGACCCTAAGATAATGTCCAGGATGAGAACGGAAACTAGAGGAAACCTTGGCAAGAATTTGTACCTGGCTCTTTACACGTCCCCTTCTTGCCATTCCCCGCTTCCTTCAAAAACCCTTTGGTATCTGAGGCTTTGAGATGGGTTAGATTAACATCTCCTTCAGGTTGCTGGTTCTGAATAAAGCTTCCGTCCTTATCTTTCCACCAACATTTGACTTTCAAGTCTTTTGTTTCTGTTTGGCAGTGGGCAGCCAAACTTGGGTTCAATAACAGTTTCCGGGTATTCTTCTCATAGAAACATGATCCAGGGTTGGTAATTTTAAACACTAAAGGTCTGTAACAAGGAACTTCAATATACAGGATAAGCTAGTGTGTGGTAGGAGGGTGTAAGCCTGATATTCATGTAAAGAAATAGTATTCTAGTGGGATATAGACTATATTGAGAGTATAAGTATCATTTAACACATCAGGGACAAGCCAACATTCTTCCCCTCAGGATAGGCAGATTTCTTGAATGGATTTAAACAGGTTTCTTCACAGCAGGCTGGAAGGTTTATGAAGAGAGCAAACTGAGTATTGTAGAAAGAATAGCCCCAATGTTAGTTTCTATTCCTGAAGGGCTGGGTTTTTCTGATAGGGTTGTAATGACCTCAGAGAAACATTTTGTTGAAGTATGGGTCAAGGTCTAACTTTTTGTAAGACTGAAGTTTGGGATTAATTACATGAGGAAAACTTAAGTAACAGAAGCAACCTATAGAAGGAAATCTACCTTATGAAGTCAATAAAAGTGCAGCTATTAAATTTTGTCAAAATAATCAGTGAAATTAAGAGCAGTAGCTATGGTCTGGGAAAACACACCAAAGAGTGTTGTTCTCGGAAATGGCAGAAGAGCATAGGGAGTCAAAAGTAACAGGATGAAGATAAGGGAGATAACACTGAGAAATGATTTGGCATTTCTTGTATGCATGTCTTGTAAGTTGGGTAACACGAATCCAGGGATCAATGTCGTGGAGTTTTACTGCTGGGTCAGTTGTTAACAGTGCCCAATAAGTCTTTTCCATTGAGGCTCAAGGGAAACTTTTTTCTGATGCTTTTTCAGAAGACCAAATCTCCAGATTTCAGATCACGCAGAGACTGCTTAGGTGGATGCTTTGGAAATGCAGCTTCTACCTGTTGTTGATAAAGCAGGAGTTATCGTAGGAGCCCTATGAAGCAATTAGTGATAGCAGCTTGAATTAAGGTAGCTACTACGTTGTTGTTGTTTTTGCTGCTGGTGGGTATGGAATCTGGACCCTTGATCTTGGTGTTATTAGCACCACACTCTAACCAACTGGGCTAACTGGCTAGACCTAGGGTGCATTTAGTATTGGAAGTAATTCACAAATACATGAGGCAGTCTGTTATTAACTCAGAAAGAGGTAACTTTTGGTTCCTAGATGGATTGATCTTATTGCCATCAAGGTAAATGGAAGTACTTCAGGCTTTGGAAGTGGGAGGGTTCCTGAGAGCTTTGATAACTATATTTAGAATTCCATTAGTTCTATTCATTTTTCCTGAAATTTGTGGATGATAAAAATAGTGGAGTTTCTAAGTAAAAGGTAAAGCTTTACAGAGTTATTTAATAATAGTATTAGTGAAATGTGTGTCATTGTTACTGGACATTGGAATTTTCCATTCAGGAACACAAAATCGAGCAATTTATATTTATAACTCTCCAGGAAGGAGACGCCTCCACCCACCGTAAGAATAAACGATAATAACCTTAATGTACTCATAGCCCATTCAGAGGAGTTCAACAGCTTTGAAGCTTTGGGCTCCAGGCCATGCGCTACCTTTATAATTTTGCCAGGATTGGGTCATTGGCAGGTAGGACATACATCTTTGGCAATATCCTTAAAATTGCCCCGCCAGTGTTGGTTCAATATCATTGTTAATTTAGTCCTTCACATTGGTTATTTCCTTTCATTATCACGAGCATGCTATGTGATGGCGTATTAATCTCATTTTATAGACACAGTCCCACCACTCTAAGTAAGTGGTGATGCCAGGATTCAAACTCCGATCTTTCTGAGGCCAGCGCCCAGTTCTTAATTCCTCTACCACCCCTGATACTTTTCCACAGGCAGGTTCAAGCGCCCACCATACAGACTGCACATAGTAGGCACTAAACCTTTAAAAACTTATAATTTGTAAGTTTGGTTATCGGGGTTTGACCTAGGGTTTGGCCTCCCTTACGTGTACGGGCAAAAATCTGGCCGTAGGCTAAATTCTCCCTGAGAGGATTCCTCTGAGCCCCGGGAGGTGCCCAGTCCGCCTTTATTGTGAGCTTACAGTACTGTGAGCAAGGTCCCAGCCAGTGACGAGGCCGAGGCGGTGAAGTCGCCTGCAAAGAACCCCCACGGGGCCCCGCGGGGAGTCCTTAGCAACGCGCGCGCTCTGTCCCAGCCCCGCCCCGTCGGGCGGCACGGCGCCTGCGCGCGGCCGCAACCGCCAGTCAGGTCCCGTGTCTCCCCCTCCAACCCCCCTCCCCTCTCCTTCTCCTCCTCCGCCGCCTAGAGCGAGACGCCAACATGGAGCCCGAGGACTTGCCGTGGCCCGGCGAGCTGGAGGAGGAGGAGGAGGAGGAGGAGGAGGAGGCGGCGGCAGCGGCGGCGGCAGCGACGGAGGAGGAGGCAGAGAACTCGAACGAGATCGTGATGGTGGAGGAGGTGGAGGAAGAGGCGGGGCCCGAATTGGACTCCGACTTTAACTACGACTACCAGGGTCTGGAGAGCACCGACGACGAGGAGGACGAGGAGGCCAAGGCCTGGCTGCAGGCGCCCCCAGGCAGGACCTTGTTGCCGCCGCCGCCCCCGAGACACCGCTATTCAGAGGGCGAGCGGGCCTCCCTGGAGGTGAGCCGGGCCGGGGAGAGGTGTGGGGCCGCCTCGGCGTGGGCCCCGAGCACTGTGCTCCGCTCGCTGTCTGTCACGGTGCCTGACAAATAATTAGCGCGCCTTTCAAGGCTCGTGGGGGCCAGCTCGCCCCCGGGGCTCGATTCTTGCCCAGAGGCTGGCTGACTAGTCCACGTCTTCAGTGCTCTCTGGCAAAGACATCTTTGTTTCCCTCCCCTCGGTGGACCCCGTGTTTTTTGGACTACCACAGATGTTCAGAGGAGCCAGTATCCCCCGTGTGTGGAGTGAAGAAACGCTTTGGGGAGGAGGAGGGGCTTATTGTGCCCTGAAGGAGGGGGAAAGGGCGGTGTAGGACTGAAGAGAGTTGTTACCCAGGGAATATCGTGTTGAGACAATTAACAGATTAGTTTGAAGTGCAGGACGACCCTGGAGGGAATAGTGTGGATTATGTACGCTGCATGATCAGTTAGTCTTGAGAGGCTCCCCGCCGATTGTACTTGGCTGGACCCTCGTTTGTAGTAATAAAGGGGCTTAGAATGCAAGGGGCTTGTGATGTAGCTCCAAACAGTCTGGAAAACCAGAAAGCACAAGGTAAACACAATAGAGAAAGCCGCTTTCATGGTTTACCCGCGAAGACCATTTTAAAGATAACCCTGCATGTAATTTACTGCTTTTCAAGGAGCAAGACCTGCGCTGTTCAGTATGGTAGACACTAGCCACGCTTGGCTCTTAACATCTGAATTAGTTAAAAATAAATTTTAAAAAATTAGAAATTTACTGCCTCCGTTGTTCTAATCACTTTTCAAGTGCTCAGTAGCCCACACGTGGCTAGCAGCTAACGTACTAGATAGTGCAGATGGAACAGTTCAATCATCACAGACAGTGATGCTATAGACTGGTAGAGTAGTAGTTGTTTTATCTGGTAAATATTCCGGTGGGTACTTAATTCATTGAGCGTATATTATTAAACCTTCACCATTTGCCACACATCATAATGGATGCTAAGGAGACCTTCGTGAACCCAAACATTTTTGGTCCCTGCGTTCCTAGTGTTCAGTCTAGGCAGGGAGGCAGGACAAAAATTCAGATGATCATTTATTTATTTATTTATTTATTTATTTTTTATTTTTTAAAAGATGACCGGTAAGGGGATCTCAACCCTTGGCTTGGTGTTGTCAGCACCACGCTCAGCTAGTGAGCAAACCGGCCATCCCTATGTAGGATCCGAACCCGTGGCCTTGGTGTTATCAGCACCGCACTCTACCGAGTGAGCCACTGGCCGGCCTCAGATGATCATTTAGATGAAGGTAAGACTGATATGTGCCAACGTGCAATGAAAGCATAAAGGTAATCTGGCCTTGTCAGTGAAGCTGAGGAAAACCTTTTTGAGGATATGATAGAACTGATATCTGAGGACAGATTAAGGTTAATTAGGCAAAGACGTAAGGGAAAAAAAGCACATGGCCGTGTACTGTCCTTTAGAGCACGGCGTTTACTTTTTTTTTCAGTGTCTTTTATTTTCATTTTATTTATTATTTTTTAAAATTTTATTTTATTTTATCAATATACAATGTGGTCAATTATTGTAGCCCATTACTGAAACCTCCCTCCCAACAATCTCCTTTCTGTTTGCTTGGTGTATCAACTTCAAGGAATTGTAATTGTTGTGTTTTCTTCCCTCCCCCACAGGTTGTTTGTGTATTTATTTATTTATTAGCTCCCCAAAATAAGTGAGAACATGATATTTCTCTTTCTGTGCCTGACTAGTTTCACTTAATATAATTCACTCTGGGTGCATCCATGTTGTTGCAAATGGCAGTATTTCATTCTTTTTTGTAGCTGAGTAGTATTCCATTGTGTAGATATACCACATTTTCCATATCCACTTATCTGATGATGGACATTTGGGCTGGTTCCAACTCTTAGCTATTGTAAATAGTGCTGCAGTAAACATTGGGGAACAGGCATATCTTCCACTTGATGATTTCCAGTCCTCTGGGTATATTCCCAGCAGTGGGATAGCTGGGTCATATGGT